TCAAGGCCCATTTATGGTGTAATCGGCTCTATTGGGTTTGTTGTTGGGTTCTGGTTTGGATCCATTTTCTAATGAACTAATCCTAAGATCTGTTTTGTAGGGAAATCAATAACAGAGGAGAGGCAATGGATTAGTGAAGTTGAGAAGCAAGAAGAGGATTTGGCTAAGGAACCTGGCTCTGATACCATGTAAGAAGTTGGGATTAGAGAGGCAATAAAAGCAGTTGGACTGTCGAAGAATGCCTAGAAGAATTCTGAAGAGGTAAGAGAAGCAACACTCGGTTGCAGAGTATGCTAGAAAAGAAAAGAAGAGAGAAATGCCTTTTTGTATTTGATACAGTAAAACCTCTCTATAGTCATAATGGTGGGACTAATTAATTTTATTACTATGAAGAGGTTATAACTTAATAAGGGTGTAATTAAAAAAATTTATTATTTCATAATTCATGTTTTAGTAGTACAATATTAGGATTTTAATTCATGTTTTAATAATATTATGGTTTCAATTCAGCCTTTCAATTGCTTACTTTTGAAACGAATAGAAGATCATGTTTTGAAACCAACAAAGATAACTATCCTTGATGAAATTGTAAATGTAATTGCTGCATGGCAACTGATGTGAAGCCACAGACAATTGCCAATTGTTTTAAGCATTACAAAATTAAGACCCCCGATGTCGATGAATTGCAAGTTGCAAATGGAGTGGATGAGGAGAATCAAAGAGTCATTGTAGAATTGAGTGATCAAATTCGACAACTTCACTACACTAATCAGATGAATATTAATGTCTTCCTTAATCATCCATATGAGTAACAAGTCATGTATGCTTTAACAAAAGAAGAAATCATTTCTAAAATTAAACAAGAAGAGAAAGGAAATAATTATGAGGATGATAGTATAGAAATACAAAAAGTTTCATGTCAAGAAGCTCTAAACATGCTTGAGAAGCTAGAAATGTTTTGGCTTTAACAAGAAAATGTCAATGCTAGCGAGTAATGTATCCACAAGTTAAAAGATGTAATAACAACTCTAAAGCATAAATTATTATCCCAAACAACTTCAGATAAATATTTTATTTCATCTTAAACCTTTAATGTAACATACCATATATTTTTTTGCAATATACAGATAATTATTACTATATGGAGGCAACTTTCCTTAAGACGGGAATTAGAAAAATTATAACTTATGACAACGTGGAGTTTATTCTTATTTATAACTATCCCAAACTGGGAATATAATTTTTTATGACTATGTAGAGTATCACTATAGAGAGGTTTTACTGTATATCTTTTATGTAAAATGTTGTACAATTTATATAATTGTAACTAGGGGTGTTCAGTTCCGGGTACCCTACACTTTTTGAAGGAACCGGAACCAGAACCGGAATCGACCGGAACCAGAACCAGAACCAACAGTTCCGGTTCCCAGGTACCCAAAACCAGAACCTGTAACAACGGTTCCGGTTCTGATTCTGGGTACCCTGTAAAATTTCATGACCCCCCAAAAGTTTTTAAAATGGCAAAAAAAACTCTTAAAAACTTACAATACACCCCCCCCCCCCGGCCACTTGGCACTTGTTAACAAAAATAAAATTACAAATTCAAAATTCAAAATTCAAAATTCAAAATTACCAACTGTAATTCTCAAAAGTCAAACCAACTTACTTTAAATGTTATGAAATATAAATATAAATGTATTCACATTACTTTTTCTACAAAAGTTTTTATTAACCCCCCTAATATTTAATTTAATTTTATATTAGTCTCAGTTCCTGGTTCCTGGTTCCGGTTCCAAACTATAGGAACCGAAACCGCACAGTAACGGTTCCAAAAATTTGGAACCAAAAACTATCCATTAACGATTGGTTCTGGATAGGAACCGGAACCAAACCTAGGGTACCCGCCGGTTCCGGTTCCAACCGGTTCTTTTGAACATCCCTAATTGTAACAGTGATATGTAAGGAAGTCAAATATACAGAAATAAATACAAATCAACATATAAAAGGAATGGAATAAATCCAGCAACACTATCTATACTTAGGCCATATCAAATATTTCCAATCTTCTAAATATGGCGCGTATCATTATTCACATGTCAACAATTTTGTGTTGTGTGTTCCATAGATGATACAAAGGGCAATCACGGAGTTGAATGAGCTCGGTGGTTCAAGTGAGGAAACTATATCGAAATTCATTGAGGCAGAGTATGGAGATTTGCCTTTTGCTCATGCAAGTCTATTGACTCATCACCTACAAAAGCTTGTTAAGAAAGGGGACGTTGTTTGTACTTCCGGAAACTGTTGTATACTTACAAACGAGAGTTCTCATTTTTGTTATATGTTGAAGAAAGAACAGAAACATTTGAGGAGGTCTCAGAATGGTAGGCAAAATGGCAAGCAGCATAAGGTCAAAGGAGTTGAATCACAGAAACAGAAAAAAATTGAAGAAAGTCGGGAAAAGACTCAAGTGAATGGGACAATATGTAAAGGATTTGAAGAACAAAAGCCAGCTGAAGGACATATTGGACCAACTGGAGAACAAGAAAACAAAGGGTATGCTGAATTGATTGAAAAACACGATGAGTTGGAAGAAATGCAATTTAAAGTGAATGAAGAACAAGTTGAAGCTGAACAATACAAAGAAGGGAATGAAAAACATAATCAAAAGCAGGAGCAGCAGAACAACAGCAAAATAGATGAATTAACTGCAAATTCAAGTGCTAGGGAAAACAATTGAGGTATTGGTAAAAGAGAACAACCAAGCTGAGGATAGAAATCAAGCTGAAAATCATACTGGAGTAGCTGAAGCACAGCATTTGAAGGAACTAGATAAAGAAGTAATGGAAGAACTGTGTCATGAAGAACAGAAAAATGAGAACCTTGAAGAGAAAAATAAAATTCGAGATCAAGAAAGAGAAGCTAGTGAAAAGCAGGCCCAATTACCAGAAATACAGATTGAAGGAGTGGTGGAACTGATTAATCCACAACAGCGACTTTTGGATGTGCCTTGTGATTCATCATGTGGCGAGAATGAAAATAAACAGGTGCCGAATGAAAGGACAAAAACAGTACAAGAAGACAATTCCCCTACTACAGAATCACACAGAAAGTTTAGTGGGGAGGCCAACATTTTTAAGCCAAAAGCAGGCCAATCTTATCTGGTAGGACTCGTTGAGCATTATCACAAATCAAAACGTGGTAGCCCAGAAAAGCCACCGAAATCTCGACCAGTTACAAGTTGTCTCAATGTTACAGGAGCTTAGCCTCGAGCATCAGCATCAAACTACTTTTAGTAATGAAGCTAAAGGACTTGAATACAAGGTAGCAATAGTGCTAGCTTCTATTACTTTCGTAGCCAATTCATTATTTATTAGCAAAGATGTCTCTAACACCGTAGTTACTAACAATAATATTGATGATTGGACACTAGCAACGACCAGAAAATTCAATTGAGGGAAGTCTTACAGCAGTGGAGCACCAATTTCAACCAGAGTGGCAAATGCCATCAAATTCTCAACTAGCTGCATATACTTAGTTACAAAACAGATGCAGAAGCAACATCAACAGAGGGGAACAAGGCCATCCGAATGTGAACCAGTTCTTATGACTATTGAGGCTGAGCATGATTTGACTCTTGCTTCCCTGAAATCTGAGTTGAAGCAAAAGTCAATGCCTTCTACTAAAAGAATGCTAGAACCAAGACCAAAGACACTGGTTGAGATAAATAAAGCATTTGTTTCTTGATGAACGTGTTAGCTAGTGTGTATAATTTTTGTATGTGATAGTTATCCATTTTTATTTGTGTATGGTTTTTCTTTTGATGATAAATTTGAGATTTTGTCAAGTTACTTTTAGTGTATTATGAAGAATATAGCCCGTTTATGTTTTGGATTTACCATAACCTTTTTGAGAATTTGATTTTCATAATTGAGCCCATATGTTTCATATAAACAATTAATATATTTTTGTTCTCTTTTTATTTATTCTTTTTTCTCTCTTAAAATATAGATTTTTATCCAAATTAAGATCTACAACACAAAATTATAAACGGAAAACTATTGAAATCTTTTCGAGAAGCAAAATAAGTTGTAATTTGAAGATTTTTTACGGGTGTATAAGAGATAATTTTTTTTTTTAATTTTCATTTCTTTTTATAGTGTTTTCAAATAAAAATGTTGAACGCATTTTCATTTTCCATATTTTTAAATAATGTTTTCAAACAAATATATTGAACACTTTTTTTTTTTCACATTTCAAACATTTTCAATATTCCATAAAAAAACAGGAAACAAATAGTTTTCTAAAATTCTCAAATCAGTCAAATTAAAAAAAAAAAAAAAAAAAGAGAGAGAAAGAATATTATTAATATAAGGTCCCACGGAGCTAGATTTTGGCTGTAGCATTTTCTTTATTAAAAATAACAATCGCTCATAATCTAATTATTAACTTATTATCATCCCAGACCTTTTATCTTATCAATTATCACTTAGTAGTCTCATGGTAAAAAAGTAAAAGGAGGTTTCATGAGTTTTTGAAAAGTGGTCAATGTGACTCTTATCTGGCCAACAGTTTTAGAATGCCGAAAGATTAATTGAGGTGTATGCAAACTAACCCAAATAACTCGGTAAAAAAAAAAAAAAAAAAAAAAAAAAAAAATCTATGTTGTCTTAAAATGAACGAGTCGGTGAACATGAAAAAGAGATTAAGTCAAGCTTGAAATTTTTCTACTTTGCGACAACATTCATATTTTTGTTGAAAATGTGTTCCAAAAGTTTAAAACATGCAAACCCAAGTGGGTAGGAAAATTCTAGGAAACTACTTAAATACCACCAAAATATGTTTGTCACAATTGTTTTTTCATTTTACGAAAGAGTTATACGAAATTTTGAGTAGACCCAACCTTAGAAGTAGAGTTTTATCATCTTAAAAATCACCTAATTTCGCTAAATCGATTAGATGAAGTTGAATCCCAGTTCCCTCCCATTTATGTTTCCTCAAAAGCCATAAAAAAATCCTAAAAATACTTGCTCAGAAGAGTTGAAATTTGAAATAAAAATTAAAGAAAAGTTAGTTGACTTGTTCAAGTGGTTTATAAGATTCCAGTTCCAGTTTTGAGTGAAAATCCAAGAATAATAAACAACCCTTGACCTGAAGAAAAATGAACGAATGAATTATAAACTCAGTGGAAAGAAAAGGAACGTATATTAATTTAAACAAGCAAAGCTATACCCATGAATCCTTACTCTCCAAGTAAAACACCAGCCCCTGTTTGTATAATTATTCACCACAAAACCCCAAGACGAAAACTCCTATTTTGTTTCATTCACGCATTTCATCAAACACATATCATAAACCAAATTCATCCACAAAATCACTGAGAAAAAGAGAAATAGAAACTCAAACATGAGAAACGGGAAGGTGGGGTTGGTTGTTTGGTTGATTTTATCTCTGGTTTTGAAGTTCTGTTCAGCTTCACCAACGTCCTCATCATTGATCAATAGAGTTGGGTCTTCCCTTTTGTTCCCAGTTCATGGGAATGTGTATCCTACAGGGTATGTCATTTTGAAACATAGAGTTTTCTTGAATTTAGCAATGTATTGATGTTGATGATATCAAAGAGGGTTTTTTATTTTTGCAGGTACTATAATGTCACCCTTTACATGGGACAGCCAGCAAAGCCTTACTTTCTTGATATTGACACTGGAAGTGATCTCACATGGCTCCAATGTGATGCACCCTGTGTGCATTGCACTGAGGTACTTGCTTCAATATGGCAACTTTTTATCAATCTAGATGAGTTCCAGGAGCCATTTTATATTGAATGCTGTGTTATATCATCATTGAAGCTTGTATTAGAAGTAGATAATTGGAGACCATGTCATAATTTTTCTTAACCAACTCTTTGTAGGCACCTCATCCTTATTACAAACCCAACAATGATCTTGTGGTCTGTAAGGACCCAATCTGTGCATCCTTACATGCACCAGGTGACCACAAATGTCCAGATCCAGGGCAATGCGACTATGAGGTTCAGTATGCAGATAGTGGTTCTTCTCTTGGTGTCCTTGTCAGAGATGCTTTTGCCTTCAATTATATAACCGGAGTCAGAATTAATCCCCGTCTAGCTCTCGGGTTGGTAACTTTGATTGTCTAAATTTTCTTTGTTAGAACTCAGATCATATTGTTGAACTCTTATCTAAGTTCTTTGGTCTAATAGTAATTTAATACTGTTTAAGAGCCAAGTTGACAAAGTGGTCTCCTGTTTGATCGTCCATTGCATCTTCAATTATAATGAATTGGTATTTGTGACTATGATTGTATTTTATTGTCTGTAATCTATGTGCCTTATCATAAGGAGATGTGTTCGTGCTAAAATATTACTATTGGGCATTTGTCTATCAATTTAAAATTCTGAATTTAGTGGCAGCTTAACAATCTCAAAATCATGGTATTTTTTTGGGCAAGTGCATGGAATTATATACCTTTGAATAGAACTTTCGTAGTAAACCTTTTATGCTGTCACTATAACTTGTGTGGATCTTTTGTAAATCATGTTGCTGTTGGGGTTGATGACCAACGGTTTTCTAATTGTTAAAAGGACTTAATTCGCCTATCTAGGTAGCCTGATTTCTTACCTATCAGATGGGAAGAAAACTTTGTCGTTCACCACTGAAATAACTCTTTTAAACTCCCAAAAAGGCGGCAGGGTAGCCTTTGTTTTACTGTTGTCCTTCAGATGCAATATAGGCAAGCAGAAATCATGGCTATCTTATTCTATATTTTTTATCCTTATTTTTTGTATACAGTTGCGGATATGATCAACTTCCAGGTCCATTTAATCATCCCTTGGATGGAATACTTGGTCTTGGCAAGGGAAGATCCAGCATTCTTGCACAGCTTCACAGTCAGAATTTAGTTCGAAATGTAATTGGCCACTGTTTAAGTGGACGAGGNAAAAAAAAAAAAACGTTAACGAAAACCAGGAGTGATTGAATATGAGATCATCATCAACAGACCTCTTGGAGTCAACGGCTTTTTCCATCCAAATAATTGTCAAATCATAGATGATACTTTTTTACCCACATACTTTCAAAATATTATTTTATTATCTAAATTTATATTCGGTTCTTGATTCTGGCATCATTGTGACCCGTTACCACCATAATTTTCTTCTCCAATCATCACTCACTAAAATCCTGCAAACCATATTCTCGTCGATCTCGCCAATCACTGGCAATCGAGAGATTAGAGTTTGCATAGACACCCCTCCCAAGTCAAATTGTGATCAATTCCAACTATCAAAAGACTTATTGGCATCTTCTCTTCAAAAGCTTCAATAGCCTGGACCAAGTTTGTTTTATGTTCACTATAAAAATATAAATGTCAGTAATAAAGTGACATTTTAAAAGTTTGTAGGTGGAAAAGTATCATTAAACTATTATTTGAATTGGAAAAAGTCATTAACTGATACCACTTGTATTATATATAGAGTTCATTAAGAGGGATGGATTTAGGATTAATATTAGAGTGGACAAATTTAAAATAAATAATATAAAATTTGTCATAAAAATAATATTAGAGAGGGAAAGAAATATTGGATACGTTTGGTTCATTATTTTGGATAGGATTTTAGGAATAATATTGGGTAGTTGGATATGAGAGTATTACGAGGTAAAATTTAAAAATGTATGAAAAAGCCCCTAGGTTTGCTAATTTAATTAAACCCTAATATATAAAATAACAAAAATACCCCTACCACCTGCAGTGCTAGATTCCGGCCACCATCGCCGGAATCTGGTCAAAAAATTTCGTTACGACACAAACCGGTCGAATCTGTGTCGTAACGCGTCGCTATGGCCTTTTTCGGCCAGATCCACAGAAAAGGCCACATCTACGACCAAATGTTGCCGTCGACAGCCAAAAAAGGCCAAAGAAGTTCATCTTTGGCTGTTAGCGATGGCCAGATCTGGCCTTTTTCAGTCAGATCTGTGGTGGATCTAGCCGGAAAAGACTAGATCGGTGAACTACCAGCCAGTTATGGTTGTGGTGTAGGCCGTTGTACAGATTCCGGCTACCACCGATGGTGGTTGCAAAAATCTGGCAAGTATGGGTTGATAGGGGTGCTTTTGTTAATTTTTAAACTTTTTTCTAGGGGTATTTAACGAAATTAATAAACTTAAGATGTCTAAAAGTAATTAAAAAAATATAATAATAGTTCTGGAATAATGTGCCAAACAATATTTGAAAAATAAGATTCGGAATATGGGTAGAAATATTGAACCAAACGCACCCATTATTATTTCTAAGTTTTACCTTTTAGTTGACTTCTAAATGATAAAATACATATACAATATATTTAATTAATAATATACTCATCTTCTTATATTATATCAATTTAGAAAAAAGAAAAAAAAGACAAATACAAAGGAAATCAATAAATAAAAAATTGAGTAGGGTTGTCAGCCCCACTCGCCCCTTCTTAGGTCCGTCCATATGGTCTCCACGAGTTCTAATGCCTCATTTACCACTCAAACGACCAAATTAAGCTTTTGCACAAAACTCAGATCAATCTAATTAAACTTTTGCCTCACAAGAAGACATTTTAATCTGAAAATTTTATGTGCGTTTAATGTAAGATCTTACAAACTACCACTGGATGACTGAATAGTCAACTATAATTTTTNCTGGAGGAAGTATTGATAGAATTAACAGGGTTGTCACACAAGTATATGTGAAGAGAAAGAAAGGAAACAAGAAGACCAAGTGCTGAGCTGGGGAAGTGTACTAGAGTTGGCTACGTGGTACCATCCCAAGGGAGTAGTTTGTTAGGACAACTGGATTGAGAGGCATAAATTGTGGGAATGTTTGTAATGGGTAGAGAATGTTTTAGTGGTATCTTGTGGGAGGTTCCTAGCACCTCGAAAGGCTAGTGTTATCTTTTTCGGCTTTTCTTTCATTCTGTTCTTATTGTCTTAGTAACTGGGTTGTTCCTTTATAACAGTCAATCAATACAAAAAATTACAGAAGAATATTCAGTCATTGTTGCTTTGTTCTGTTGTGTGTTTTGTGAATTTTGGTTGAGGTCATTGGGCTCCAATCAAATTGATATCAGAGCTGAGGTTGGGTTATGGTGAATACGAGAATGAAGTGAGGATTTGATGGATTGGAGAAGGGTATGGGGAGCATCAAGGAAGATATCGGTAGTATTAAAGGGTACCTCATGGAGCTGAGATAGTTGATACGACTGAAGGACAAAAAGGAAGAGAGTGGAAGTCGGGGAAAGGATAAGGTGATGCGGCTGAAAATCAGACGAACAATAGAGGGAGCAGTCAGGGACAGACGAGGGACAATGAAACCAGTGGAGAGGATCGGAAAATAAAGAAGCTAGAATTACCGATATTTAACGGCGAAGATCCTTATGGATGGGCTTTTTGAGCCAACCGATGTTTCAATGTGAATTCTGGTTGAGGTCATTGGGTTCCTATCACCATCTAATTCTCAACGCGCTGCAGATACTTCAGTTGCAAAACAGATGCAGAAGCAACGTCAACAGAGGAGACCAAGGCCATCTGAATGTGAACCAGTTCTTGTGACTATTGAGGCTGTTCATGATTTGACCCTTGCTTCCCTGAAATCAGAGTTGAAGCAAAAGTCAATGCCTTCTACTAAAAGAATGCAAGAACGAAGACCAAAGACACTGGTTAACTCAACAAACAGAGCAACAAAAGAACCGCTGTGGACAGAAAAAGCGGCTAATATCCGGGCCAAAAGAAACAGCTGTTAATTCAACCATCACTTCTGCACCGCAGACAAAGGATCAGCTGCAGTAGAGACAATTTGTAATAGCCTCTCTCTACTCATATACTGATAAAAGATACATAACGAAAACACATGGAAAATAACATAAATAGTTGGGTCCAAAATTTTCTTTCATTAAACATATATATGTATATAGATATTTTTTACACAAAAATTGTATCATGTACAAAAGTGATCAAAAACATGGTGGACAGTGTAGCCATTTCCCTTCGCTTGCTGATGCCCATCCGACCGTGTCCTCACCTAGATCCTGCAAAACATAGGAAACAATGAGATGAGCACTAAAACAATGCTCAGTAAGTAAATCCTTTACTCATCTAACCCCGTTAACTCTCTCTAATTCTTTCCTTACAATTCTCATTTACTTTTTCTCTTATACTTCTCTCTGTTTTCTCTTTCTCATAACTCTTTTCTGCTAACTCTCTTTAGTAAGTCACGACCTCATCTTACCAGAGGCACAGTCGGGACTTGGTCCCACTCTACGTGACTTCTACTCATTCTAGCCGATCGACCTCAGTTATGCATGGATTCAGAACCCTTGACCATGTGAGTGTATAATCTCTCTCTCTCAGGTACTCTCGGGTATAACCCTCATCTGCATGCACTCTCACGGGCTACACCACTTCTCTCTCTCATACTCATACCGCTCTCTCAATGCGGCGTACATGCGGGAATACTCTACCCATTACTCACGGGTTCCCCATCGCACAACTTACTCTATGCTCTTTTCTCTCTTTTATTCTCTAGTGCTCAATCTCTCTTTCTCTTTACTAAAGCTCACACTCAAAATTCTCTATTCTTTTTCTACTCTTTCTCTAATGCATAATTAATGCATATGGATGACTCATAATCATTAATACACAAATAAAATGCAAATATGCTATGTAGTAATAATTAAGGCTTTCTACTCTTACTCATGCTTCTCTTGAGCATTTCATCATGCAACTCATGTGCATATAAAACTCTAAGTGAACAATAACTCTTCTCTTCTCTTGTCTTGAACCTTCCCAATATGGGAGAAAACGCTCTCATAAACTCTAATTTCCCATCAATAAAACAAACACTTCTGTAGGGTTTACTCAAACTCCCTTCAACTTCAATCAAACTCAACTCAACACCATAAAATCTCAACACTTCTCATATTCCAATACATTCAATACTCATTAATAACTATAATCTCATCTCATCTCATCTCAATTTCTCAATGAACATAAGATATACACATACATACACAAATCTCTACTCAAAAGAGTTCTTAACTCTCCACTTGGATTGGATTTACTTACCTTGTGAAAAAGTGACTTCTTTAGTACTTTTCCTTTCCCTTGTTGTCTTGTCTTATCTCTACAACAACTCAAAACAACAACAAGAACAATAACAACGATATAAGACTTCAATATAACTATAAGCAAACTCACATCCAAAGCAAGAATCCTTACCTTAGGATGCTTTAGATTCAAACTCTACTAAAATTACCCCAAAAGCTCCCTAAAACTCCTTAGAACTCTTGGAAAATTGAAAGGAAACTTGAGAGAAGTTAGAGAATGATTATGGCGATGGAAATGAATGAAATGGAGGGTTTAGTTCACTTAACCCTTTTTAGCTCATAAGATACCATCACTTCCCAACTTTGCCCTTGCTCTTCCTTAGAAATTCCATCTATATCCTTTCATTTATTTCACTCACACCCCCACACTAACCTATTCTCCATGAAATTTACTTACATTTTACTCCCCACTTTTCCTGCTAATTAGGGGTAGAATGGTCATTGTGCCCCAAAGGAAGAATTCTCTAGAAACTCAATACACATTTTATTAAGCCCTTGGCCGCGGTGAAGAATCTTTCTTCGCCTCGGCAAAAAATTACAGAACCTAAACCGTAAGTTACAGGGCTTCATCACTACGGCGAAGCTTCTTCTTCGCCTCGGCGAAGTCTGTAACACAGAAACTTTGCCAAGGTTTTACAAATTTCAGGGCAACCACTCAACCAACTCACAATATCCACTCAACCAAGGCCAACTAAATATTATTAACAATAAACAAACTCAATTAAAGCTGAATCAATGAACATTTAAGCAATACAGCAANTCTATACCCTTTGATTCATTTCACTCACACACCCACACTAACCTATTTTCCATGAAATTTCCTTACATTTTACTCCCTACTTTTCCTACTAATTAGGGGTAGAATGGTCATTGTGCCTCAAAGGAAGAATTCTCTAGAAACTCAATACACTTTTTGTCAAGCCTTTCGCTGCGGCGAAGAAAGAGCGAAAAATTACAGAACCTACACTGTAGGTTGCAGGGCCTCATCGCCGCGGAAGCTTCTTCTTCGCCCCAGCGAAGTCTATAACACAAAAACTTTGCCAAGTTTTACAAATTCCAGGGCAACCACTCAACCAACTCACAATATTCATTCAACCAAGGGCCAACTAAATATTATTACCACTAAACCAACTCAATTAAAGCTGAATCAATGAACATTTAAGTAATATAGCAAATCTTAACTACGTACCTTAAGCAGGGCGTTATAATTCTCCCCCCTTAAAAGAATTTCGTCCCCGAAATTCACAAGAATAACTCCGGGAAGCGATTCTGCATGTCTCGTTCTACCTCCCATGTCGCTTCTTCTATCTTGTGATTCCTCCAAAGGACCTTCACTAGCGGAATACTCTTGTTCTGGAGCTCTTTAATCCTTCGATCTAGAATCTGTACTGGACGTTCTTCATACACGAGGTTCTCTGCTAACTCAATGTCCTCTACATTTAGAATATGGGAGGGATCACTTCCATACTTCCGTAGCATCGAGACATGGAAAACATCATGCACCTTGTCCATACTAGGTAGCAATGCCAATCTGTAGGCAACCTTTCCTACTTGTTGCAATATCTCAAATAGACCTATGAATCTCGGTGCTAACTTCCCTTTGTTCCTGAAATGCATCACTCGCTTGTAAGGGGAAACTCTCAGAAACACTTTATCACCTACTTGAAATTCTACCGCTTTCCTCTTCAAATCGGCATAACTTTTCTGTCGATCTTGGGCTTGTTTCATTCTTTTTCTGATTAATCTTACATCCTCTATCATTTTCTAAGTCATCTCTGGCCCAAGAGCGGTACTCAACTCATCTTTTTCACCTATCTCATCCCAATGTAGTGGAGACCTACATCGTCTACCATACAAAGCCTCGTAAGGCGCCATCTTAATTGTAGACTGGTAACTATTATAATAGGCAAACTCTACCAAAGGTAACATTTCGTGCCATGACATTCTATAATCCATACAGAAGGCTCTCAACGTATCCTCAAGCACCTAATTTGTTCTCTCTATTTGGCCATCCATCTAAGGATGATAGGCAGTACTGAATGCCAAACAGGTACCCAAATTTCTCTGTAAACTAGTCCAGAAAGCTGAGACAAATCTCGAATCTCTGTCTAACACTATAATCTTGGGCACACCATGTAACCTGACTATCTCCTTCACATATTTTTGAGCCAACTGATCCGAGGTGGTACTCTCCTTTACTGGAAGGAAATGGGCGGACTTAGTTAATCTATCCACAATCACCCATATAGAATTATATCCCCTCTGTACTCTAGGGAGACCTGTGATAAAATCCATCGAAATGCTCTCCCATTTCCATTCTGGGATACTAAGTGGTTGAAGTAACCCTGACGGCATTTGGTATTCTGCTTTTACCTGTTGACACATNATTTATCTCCACTATCGAGATTAAATCTCGCTTTCTTCTTCCGACAATTAATTTCTACTCCATACATCCCTAGGAAATCCATGCCCAATATCACATCAAAGTCGGACATATAAAAAACTATCAAGTCAACTGCTAATTCTCGACCCTAAGTCACTACGGACTCTCCTAATAACATCTCTTGAGTAAACACACTCACCCCATCAGGTAACTCTATCTTAATAGGTTGACTCACTCTAATAGGTTTCAATCCTAATCTCTCGATCATCCCATGAGAAATAAAAGAATGGATAGCCCCAGAATCAATTAAAGCATATAAGGAAACAGCTTGAAATAACAACTGACCAGTGACAGCTGATGGATTGGCCTTGGCTTCACCCTGTGCCACTGTAAAAACTCTGGCATATCTGATCCTTTCTCTATCATTCATGGGAAACAGTGTCGCCGTCCGCTCTACGGACTTAAACCACTTCTCTGCCTCTAGCTGGTCCCTAGTACCCCTAAACGTTGGTGGCTGGTGCTGGTTTGCAAGCCCCTGAATCGGATCAACCTGAGTCTGTGCTGTCTGAGGTACCAACCCTTCTCGCTCTTGTCTTGTGGGCAGTACTCTACTGGGGGTCTCGGTTCTCCCCTGAACAACTTTCCCCTGACTCTCCGCTAATACCTGCTGTACAATGGTTCGAATCATCGTCTCATCAAGGGTAGGGGGAGTTCGTTCTGGTGGGTTAGAGGATTCTCCCTCGTTCATCACACTCTTACCCTTCCTTCTGTTACTACGCCTCATCTACAAAACAACCATACTTGATCAATATAAGAAAACACTTATTGTACGGAAGGAAAGAATTAACTTACACAGTCGGCTCTCAGACATCGTAGCGACGAGAATGGTACACTGTCATATTCCAAAATCTCGGCTTTCATACCAAAAATGTAATAGCCTCTTTCTACTCATATACTCATAAAACATACATAATGAAAACACATGGAAAATAACATAAATAGTTGGGCCCAAAATTTTCTTTCATTAAACATATTTATGTATATAGATATTCTTTACACAAAAATTGTATCATGTACAAAAGTGATAAAAAACATGGTGGACAGTGTAGCCATTTCCCTTCGCTTGCCGATGCCCATCCGACCGTGTCCTCACCTAGATCCTGCAAAACATAGGAAACAACGGGGTGAGCACTAAAACAATGCTCAGTAAGTAAATCCTCTACTCATCTAAGCCAGTAACTCTCTCTAATTCTTT